AGCAGGAATACAGGGCAGAAGGTGTGTTTTTGCAGACAGAAAACCTATGGTAACACAGGCTGTGGAGAAAATCCATTGCCTGGTTAAAAGGAATAAATGGAGCCTTTAGCTGGGTTGCATTAGATTCTTAAATAACATGTGCCTTTCAAAGCCTCCTACGTATTACGGAGCTATCATAGTTTAGATATTAAAGTTACCATCAAAAGTAACATCAAATATTTTACAACCATGACAGTATAGTTTATATTACACCATATAAGAACAGAAGGGATTGTTTTCCGAAGTGAGGGAACCTTTCATCGTATCTTTTTCTTTCTTATCTGTATTAAAGACTTCAATTCGATGTCATTTAAACCTGGCTTTCAGTTTTACACCTCTGGAGATCATTGAGTCCAACAGCTTGCTGAATGCAGGTTCAGCTACAGCAGGCTGCTCAGGGCTGTGTCCAGTCAGGTTTCGACCATCCTCAAGGATGGAGGCTCCACGACATCTTTGGGGCAACATCCACCAGTATTCAATCACCTTTACCGTAGGATTTTTTTTTTTATCTCCAACTAGAATTTCCTGTATTTCAACTTGTGCCCAAATACACTTCTCATTTACTTTTCTCATGATATTTTTTAAAAATCTCCCTATGGAATACCTGTACGACGTTGTAGCTATGTTTTTCTTTTTTTGAACATTCCTATCGTAACACTCGGCTCCTCTGTCTCATATCTCCTCTCTTTCCTCTTTTTCCCCTTTTCCCTTTGAAATCTCTCGTAAGTATTTAAGTGAATACCAGCACTTCCATTTCTGTGGTTTAAATGAGTAGTATAAAGAATCCTATTGCACACTACCTGTGCAATTTTATAATTACCTGAAACCATTTAGCATATCATCTCTTCAGGCACCTACTTACACAGCTTTGAAGCCAAATTCATGTGTAGTGCGGTCCTACAAAAATGGACAAGGCCAAACCAAGAATTAATTTGTCTTGATTTCAACTGGGAAATAAGCAGAAGCAGGTGAAGTAGAAGCAGAAATCTCATATTCATGCCGATGCAGGTACGTAAGAACATGCGAGAAGAATATTCATTATCCAAGCAACAGACCTTCAAATACAAAATTATTCATGAGCTATCAGTGTGTCCGGAAATACAGCTTTTATAGACACAACCCACCCGCAAAGCTGAAGAACTTCTCGTATGCAGCATGCATAATACTGTTTGCACCAAAGCAAAATCCAGCCGAGTACCTAGGCTTCAGCAGGGAAGCCAATACTCTCTGGAGTTTGGTTCACTGGAAATGATGCAGATGCCTTTCCTCTAATTTTTCAAGGTTAAATATGAACAGGTATATTACATGACCAATCACAACATTTAGATAAGTACATGTGGCCACCGCAGCAGTTCTGGTTTTTTGCTTAGAGATTAAATTACTTTAAAGGTGAATGGTTTCCAACTGCATTCCATAATGCCTAATTTTAACTTTAAATCTTTTAATTTCCACATTTGCATTTTCCACGCCTATAAAGAGAAAGGAAGGTTTCTGTTTTAAGCCTCTACGTGGAGTGACATTACGCAGCGGGCTGCAAATCTTGGCTCCCCAACTCCATTGCCGAAGGCCCTCATGCTGCTTGGTGCAGTCACCTGTTGGAGTTTGGCCCTCAGGGTCTTTTGGCGTGTTTGCCTCTGTGCTGGGGTTGCTGACGGTATCACCGCGTACCGGCTCTGGCTGGGATGGAGTTACTCTTCGTAGTAGGTGGTATGGTGCTCTGTTCTAGGTTTGTGACCAAAAGAATGCTGACAACACACCAGTATTTTGGCTATTGCTGAACAGTGTGTGCACAGCATCAAGGTCTTCTCTGTTTCTCACTCACCCCCAGCGAGCAGAGTGGGGGTGCGCAAGAGCTTGGGAGGGGACAGAACCAGGCAGGTGACCCAAACTAACCAAAGAAATATTCCATGCCATATAATGTCCTGCTCAGCAGTGAAATGGAGAGGAACGAGGTTTAGGTAAGGTTAGCTATCTTTTGCTTGGGAACTGGCTGTCCACCGGTCTGCCCGTGGGAGGTGGTGAGAGATTGCCATTGCATCGCTTCTTTTGTTTTTTTTTTTTTTTTTTTTCTTCTCTGCTTATTAAATTATTTCTATCTCAATCCATGAGTTTTCTTGCTTTTACTCTTCCTTTCTTTTCCGCTGTCCCACTGCGGGTGGGCGGTGGGGGAGTAAGTGAGCGGCCGTGTGGTGCTTAGCGACCTACCAGGGTTAACCCACAACGCACTGCGTGCCAACTGTGGTTCCACAACTGGGCGAGGCTGATGAGATCTGCCCGAGAAGAGCCACTCAGCCCGTCTCCCCATCTTGGGGATAACCAAAGAGCTCTCATGTGGTAATACTACAGGCCAAAGCTGGATGTGGCCAGCGATCTCAGCACAAAGAAGGTCCAAAGCTCATTATGACTTCTACCTCACTACATTTTAAAAAAAAAAAAGGATCTCAAAAGAGTTGAAGTTTATTTCTCAAAAAGAAAGATAATTGTATCTCAAAATATAATCTCTTTAAGAAACCACTCACAGAGCTGGGTGTCAAGATGAATTTGCCCAGGGAATTCCATATGAAATGGGATTATTACTACAGTAAAGATGACATTAACATGTTGGTACCAGGATTGAAAGACGGAAGAATATTTTGGAAAAAATGTGCAACAGAAAACATTTATAAAAGCTACGCTAGAAACACATACTAAAATATCCTTTACCTTTGCACTCACTACTTCAATAAAGACAGAACTTCCCAAAAGAACAGAAATTCAAGCCCTGGGAAACAGTATAAGGCTTAACAAGAACCTCCAGTGAAGGAGAAGCAAAGGGCGACTAGTCTGAAGTGAGATTTCCAAAAACTTAAACATTATGGCCACACATTGAAAGACTCATATTCTGAGTCTCTTATAATTTCACTGAAAACACGTCTGTGTCTTAGAGAGACACTAAGCAGCCTATCTGGAAAGGCAATCCCACACTGAGTTGCAAGTCCACCTTCTCTGCTCTTACTCATGTCGCACAGCCGCTTCCTACGTGGGTACTTCCACTCACCTCGAGGACACGTGCATGGAAGACCACTGGCACTCGTGGCACTTTCTCAGAGCTGTGCAGACACTTGATTTCAGTAAGCAGAAGCCTGTGTAGCCATGAGGCATGGGTCCTACTGATTTAGGAGCTAGCTTTCTGTCATATGACTACTGAATCTTATGAAATGGATAGGTATACTTAAAATAATACAATTTTAAGCTAAGTCATACCTCCTTTACTCCCAAATAAGCAGCATCTCACTGTCTCAATGAGAGGCATACAATGAATGAGGTATTCTTTTTATAAAAGGGCAAAATCGAGTATTTATGTTTGTATCTGGACGTGTACTTATGGTCTAGGTACAAATGAGACACAAAACACTTCTTCCCCTCTTCCAAGGAAAAAAAAAAAAAATAATCTGTACTCTGTGTCACCGTCCACTGTCACCAGCAGACTGAGGGACAACCCCGGTATTATATTCCCCGCTAGGAATGCCAGCTACTGGAGAACAGCATTTCCAGTACAATGTTAACATATGTGCACATCCACTTCAGGGAAAGTTATTATTTACTTGATTTTTCTGTGATTTAGAACTAGTTAAATCCAATAATCTGTCTTCCCCTCTCCTGTTCTTCTTGCGACTAGACTAATACCAGGCATGACTTTGCCACAGGACTGTCTGTGCAAGACACAGTTCCATCATTTCTGATTCCATCACTCCTCTTCCTCTCCCATACCATCACTGGGAAAAATAATGCTCAGCGACAGACAGACACATGCTCAAAATACAGACATGAGGTGATTAACTGGGATCCACTGAAGTCACTGGCCAAAGTCCCATGGTCTTCAGAAGTACCAGAAAATCATACTTCCTATGGGTGCCAACCTGGGTAGCCAGGTTACACCACGGGAGTAAGTAACAAAGGGTAGGTGGGAATTTAAGCAATAGTCTTCTGGTTTTAGATATTGATTCATTAAGTCTTCCCTCTAGCAAAAGCTTAAAGGTAAGCCCATGTTTAAGTGTTTTCTTGAGCTGTTGCCTTAACAGGTATTCAAAGCAGATGTAATGTAGGAGTTGGTGATAAACTAAACTAAAACCAAAACGAATCTAAGCAAAGGCTGTTGGTGGCTGAAGCAGGGAGATGTGATTCACCTCATGTGTAGTCAGGGTCAGCTTCCATGCTAGAAATCCTCTGATGGATTCAAAAAGCTGGTTCAAAACCTTTCTCCTCAACACAGAGTGTCACAGACGCCGTGCAGACTGCCAGAAAGAACCAGAAAGTTGAACCAGCACCAGCAAGGTGGCAAGAGCAGGGTCTAGGGAATGGCGCAGCTACTAACCAGCTCTCCTACCCACGGATTAACAATGTGGAGCCACATCAGTGGAGGCTTGTTTGGCTGCTCTAGCCCTTCCAAGCTGCACTTCTCCACATCCATTATGCGTTACATTAACGATGCCGTGTGGTTACTTACCATCATTTCCACCAGCTAGGCGATGCGATATCGTGT